GCGATTGTCCCGGTTGAAAATCTATTAAAAACCGCTTTCAAATTTCTTTTCAATGCAACTTTCCTGCAGTGTAGAGGAATATTTTCTTTATCAAATAGTACAAAATTAAGCCTTCTACCTTTGTCCTGTTCTGAAAAATCTTTTTTTGAGCGGCAATACAGCATGAAAGTGGAATTGTCCCGATTGAAAATTTGTGAGAAATTGCTCAAGTGTTTTTTTAATCCTTCAACATAGAACAACATCTTCTCTTCAGGATCAGGGGGGATCAACTTCATGAAATGGGTTTTAATGCTACTTTACTCCAAGATAGAGGAAACTCGGCTCTCTATTAAGCGCTGAAAAATCAAGCTTCCAAGCTTCCAATTTTCCTTTTGAAATTTGTCAAAAACGTCTTAAAAATGCTTTTTAATGCTACTGCTCTTCAGCATATGTAGATCCATATATTCGCTATTAAATAATGCAAACCTGGGATTTCTAACTTTCACACGTTCTGAGTAATGATTTTTTTTAAATCAGCTATCATGGAACGAACACGTGCAAATGGGCCGCTTGAAACCGTCTTACTTAGCCAGAAATAAAAAATGTTACATTACCAGATTTATAAAGGAAACTGAAAAATGAAATATATTATATTTAACAAAGGATTTAAGTAAGTAACTGAAAATGAGAATTAGCAATAAAAATATGTTAAATTTTAGCATCGGGATGTTCCAAATAGTTTGAAATTTTTATGCTTGCAATTATTTTTTGCATGCTATTCGTTTTTAACTATTTAAAATTTAAAATTTCACCATGAAAAAATCAGAGTAAAAATTCAACAAGCTAATTTTTCATTCATTTTCAGATCCATGGACAAAAGATTGGTTCCTGGTGGGCAGCGCTGGAAAATTGGCCCTAATTCTGATAGCTTATCTGCTTTTCTGCATGAAAATCGGACCCAGTTTCATGAAAGATCGAAAACCCTTTAAACTAACTCGCACGATACAACTTTATAACATTTTTCAAGTCTTTGCCAACGCCTATTTAGTTTATGAGGTAATTTTTCCCGTTTATATTTTTTGCTGTTATTGTTTCATTTTGTGTGTTCTACTCATAGGGAATTCAGAGCGGATGGTTTACAAAGTACAGCTTTAAGTGCGAACCAGTGGATTATAGTGAATCCGAATCGGCTCATAGGGTAAGTCTTTATGAAAATAAAACCTATTTAACCGTATCGCATGTATAATTTTTCGACTTTCAGATGAGGAGCGCCGTATGGACTTACTACATAATCAAGCTTACCGACCTTTTGGATACCGTGTTTTTCGTGCTAAGAAAAAAGTACAACCAAGTAACGTTTCTTCATATGTACCATCACAGCATCATGCCCTTTTGCTCATACATTGGAGTCACTTTTGTGCCAGGTAAGTCACTGAATTTTCGCATTTTTCGTGAATTTCCTAGTGTTTTTCCAACGTTTTTAGGTGGACATGGATCTTTGATGGGTGTCTGCAACGCTTGCGTCCACGTGGTTTTATACTCTTACTATTTCCTCGCCTCCTTAGGACCCGAAATGCAGAAATACCTCTGGTGGAAAAAATACGTGACCAAAATGCAATTGGTAAGTTCCGTTCCCCCCTAAAAAAGCTCGTCCAGCCTTCAATTTTCTACCTCACATTGCAGGTGCAGTTTCTCATCATCCTCACCCACAACCTTCAAGTGATCCCAAGAGATTGTTCGTACCCAAAAACTTTCAACATACTCCTATCGATCCAGGCGGGATATTTCATATATTTATTCGGGTCGTTCTACGTCAGGGCGTATATAGAAAAAAAGCCCCAACCCACCATCATCAAAGTGGAAACCCAGGCGAAAGTGGAGGAGAATGGAAACACGATCATCTCAAATGGAAAATATGCCAATGGAACGCACCTAACCAATGGAAGTGCTGTTGTTAGCAATGGAAAGGCGAAAACTAACTAAAAAAGTTGTTGGAGGACATTCTAGGAGATAATTCAAGTTACTTTAGGTGGATGGTGCAGAATAACCTGAGCACAATCTGTGATAGTTTATTCCACTGGATAGAAGTGTGTTTAACAGGAACCTTTGTTAAATGGAAGTGAAATTTTTGTTTTCTGGTTGCATGAAATAAACTCGATTTTTGTTTTCAAACGCCTGATTATTGCACGATGTTGGGTGGAGCTTTAAGCTCGGAAATAAAACGCGATATAATTAATTCAAATATAATAATAAATACTTTTGTTTGCTTGCGCCGGCTCAATACCAGTAGACAAGTTTGTCTTCAAATGTGGCCTTTTCCTAGTTGCGATGCGATTATTTTACAAAATTCCTGCCTCGTATGTACAGGGTGTTAGCTTTGGGATTTCGTGAACCGAAATTGGGGCAAAGTTGCGCCTTTTTAGGCTAAACAAGCGACATTTGCGTAAATGATTTAGATTTTTTCTGAGATATTTTAAAACAATTGTCATACTATTAGAAAATATTTTTCCTCTCTAAATGTTTACACTGTATTTTAACCGTTTCTTCACACAACCGGACTTTTGCCCTAATTTTCGCAACACTCCCCTGCAATTTGTGACACCCTGTAGATGAAGCACTAATCCGACAATACACTAAAATCAAGCTCAAACGGGCGTTTCGAACAATACGTTTGACTATGAGAATAATTGTGCACTTGCAATAAAACTAAGTGATTTCAGTTCCAGTCCAGAAATCTTATCTAAATTTGTAAAACTATGTTGTGAGCATTTCATCCCTAGGCGCTAATTGGGGTGCCATTAATCAAAATTTCTTCGAAAAATCCGCTGGACGATGGTCGAAGGTTCATGCAATAAAATTATATACATTTTAGATACAGAGCAAGCGCTCCATGTCTTTGTCTAACGTCTACTGAGTTGCAACTGCGAATTTTTCGCGCAAAAGTCTTTAATAATCCTAAATATGTTGAAACTTTGAAGGTCTGGGCACAATTCCCAAGCTGATGGATGTTGCTCAATGCGCCCCAAATGTTCCAACTGAAGCTACTCTATGAAGGTACTTAAGGCTAAAAATCTCACAATTACATTGGCAATTTACTAAAGCTCCCGCAGTTCACTGAGGCGAGCGTTTTCAATAAATAAGTAAAGGTTTGATACAAACTTTTTTCATCAGTCAGTGCGCTTGAACCCCGTTTATTTCCTTTGGCTGCCAAACAGCCCCAAGTGGCGTAAAGCGTTAATATCCGGAAATTGTCCTTTGAGGGCAACATCAGCCACTAGCTTTGAGAGCCTCTCGCTCTTTTCCTGATCGGGATTCTTTGGCCCATTCTCCTCGTGGCTTTGCTCGGTTTCTTTGGCCAGTTGTTTGAATATTTCCTCGGCCTCTGATTGGTCTTCTTCTGGGCTTTTGGATGACGAAGATTCCTCGTTTAGCTCCTTTTCCAGGTCTTTGAACACCTCATCTTCTGAGCTGGTTGCTCGCTTCAGTATAGATCTGGACTGAGTTTCTTCGGGCGTTGGCAGAAGCTCATACGTGCTGGTTTCAATTTTCGACACCTTTGTGGGCTTTGGAGTGCTTCCTACTTCAATCAGTTCAACATCGTGCTTCATGATGTTGGTTTCACTGGAGCTTTGAACTGTTGGGGCTTCGCCCTTTCCATCCACCAGCTCCACGTCTTTCAGTATGGACTCAGAAGTGCTGTCGATGATTTCCAAGCTGCTCAGCCCAACTCCGCTTTCCTTGCTAGCAGGTTGGATCAGATCCACGCTTTCCAGTGAGGATTTGGTGGGTGGCTGGAAAGTCTCCACGCTTGCTGCTTCAGCAGAAACCATTGATGAGTGGTTGGTTCTGGGCGTGGTTAGTTCTCCGCTGTCCATTTCCACACTTTCCACTGATCTGGGAGAGGTTCCATTGATCGGGCAATCGGGCTCGTCTTCTGCGTCTTTGATCTCAATTGAAGCCGGCTGGACTTTGTCTTCTTCTAGAGGTTCTTCTTCTTCTCTAGGTTCCTCCAGAATCTTCACCTCGGCAATCAGTTGGGGGCCTTCGTCTGCCCAAGAGTCGTTTCTGGGAAGTTCAGTTGTTTGGTTGTCGGCTACCAGAGTTTCTTCGAATTTTTCGAAGTTGGGCAGCAATAAATCGCTGACTTCCCCAATGGAGGCAATGGTGGTCTCAATGTTTGGCTCCATATCCTCATCTATTGGGGATTTTTGCACTAGCAGCTCCTCCGGAAGGCTGGCGGCTGTGAACGACTTCAACGAGGCATTATTCGGCTGGTTGGGCCCGGTTTTCAGCCACTCAATATGGGTGTCGTTCTTAGTCTGGTTGGTGAGGAATTCGTTGACTTCTGAAAGGAAAATCTTGGTCTGTTTGGTGGAACTCTCCAGCTCCAGGTCGGCCTTTTGATGGTTTTCCCCGCCTGCTGGCATGATGTCAGGCAAAGGGGGATAGGCAGGGTTCTGCTCTGCTACCGGTTCGGTGTTTTTGGTTAAGTTTTCCGTGGTGGTTTCTATAAGAGTTGACTGTGTGACATCTTCCTTGTAAATTGTTAGGTTATTGACCAGTTCTTCTATTGGGGTGGAAGCTGGGGGAGCTGCAGTTGTTGAGTTGGCAGGGTTCTCCTTTCTCTTTACCAGGCTCAAAATGTGCGTGCTTTCTGACACTCTGAGCTCCAAATCGTTGCTGTCTGAAGAAGCATTGAGATCCCCAAGTGGTTTGGGCAAATCCGTGCTTTGCAGGAGAAGATCCTCTGGAGTTTTTGCAGCTTGATCAGGAGCAATGGGGGCAAATTCTGGTTCTATTTTCAGCTCATGCACCTCCAAACTCTCCTCCACGCCACCCCTTTGAAGGCCCTCAGCTCCAATGATGGTGATGACGCTGTCCGGGGTCGTCACGTCTTTTTCAGGCACCAAGTTGCCCTTTTTGAGGAACAAAAGCTTGTCGCCGATTCGCAGGACTGGCGGCGGGTGCTGGAAAACCTCAGAAACCTGAAACAGCAGTGGAATTATTTTTTTAGTGCTGTTTTGATGGGGGCCGTACTTCGCTGGACTCTGGCTCCGAATCGATTCCCAGATCATTTGAGGCGTATTCGCTAGTAGGGAGGGCTTCTTCGATCAGAAGCGTGCCTTGAGGCTCAGAAATGAAGATCTTGGGCGGGGCCGTTATGGGAATTTCCTTGCGCTCTGGAATTATCTCCTGGATTGTTATTCTGAAACATTCATGAGAATTGGCAAGTTCAGCGTCGTTTGGTGATAGCGCTCGTACTTATGCTGGAGGCTTTGCTCCTTCAAAGGGACTTCCTGAACGGGGACTTTGTTGATTTCCTCCAGCGACAGCGCTGCTGTGCTGGCGTTGGTTTCGGGCCATTCTTCCGCAGCAACTGGCCTGGAAGTGCTGGGCGTTGCTTCTGTGCTGCTGGATCTGTTAAAGTCTGCAAAAAACGCCTTCTTCAGCCTCCAAAGGATTTGGAGGTGGCAAAAACTCACCAATCGGCGGACAATGGTCGTACTTAGGACAGCAGGTTCCCGGGACTCTTTTGCCTTCGCAGTCGTTGCGAATGTAGCAGGAAACTTCGGTGCATTGCACCTCGCCACCTCTACAGTAGCAAACTTTGCATTCTCCACCTGGACTGGATTCGAGTTTTTCGCCGTTTGCATACGTGTGGCCATTGTGTTCGCATTCTGGAAAAACTCAGCCATAGAAAAATACCGTATGGAAGATTTGAGATGAACCCGACTCATTCAGTCATTTATAATGCGCAAATTAAGCCGTGGAAGTGCGAATGGTGCGCGCAAAGCAAAACTCATTAAAATCCTTTCCCTGACGAGTGTACGATCTGTCGAGCCACTTTGAATAAAACTCATCGGCACTTCATTTGTTGGTGATTTTAATGAAAACCATGTCAAGTGGATTGCTGAAATTAAAACTGTCGAGTTTCCATTTGCCCGAATCAGTCGACTAATTATGGTTTTAATTGCCGCGCATGTTGATTGGGTCTTTGATCATTGTTCCAGCTACTCTCTAGTTGAGTTGCTACTTTTCCTTGCAGCTAGATTTAGTCGCTTTTTTTCGCTAACATCGTTTTTAGTGGATTCAATTGACTCAACCTGTATAGAATTGTCAATTAACTGTCCAGTAAGTTGGAAAAGCAACAGGGGTTTTGGGGCTTTTTCGGGGTGTGGGGCAAATCGAAATATTTCCAGTGAATCGGGCCGGGGCTTAAGAAATGCAATTTACGTTCGACAGACCGGAAGAAAAGCCACCACTTACGGAATTCGATTTGATAAATTACGAGACTTATGAGGATTATTTGGACTCGCTTTATAATGATCTGGATAGATGTTATTTACAGGATACAAATATGTGTCGCAAGGTAAATAAGCGCTATTTTTTTAAGTTTGTTGCTGGTTTTAATCAGTTTTGACCGCAGAGGAGTCTTTTGGGGCCTTTGAGGTGCGCTTGATTTTATTGCATCAAAAATTTCATCGTCTTATTTTAAGCGCGCATATTTTACAAACATTTACATCACACAGCGTGCGTAAGAAACGCTGCAGTAAGGAAAACAGATTTATTTCTTAATTTTTATGTCAAGTTCAATGAATTTTCATATACAAAATACCAACGAAAATTGTATGTTTTTTCGTTATTGGGCTTACGAATAAAGAACAAATACAGTATTTATATTTGGCTTGCAAAACATTTGTTTTTGCAACCATACGGCGGTCATAATTATGGTCCAAATTAACGTATTTTCAAGCTGAAAAATCTCCTTTTCTTAAATGGCACACCCACTATATTGTTACTGTTATTTATTCAAATTTTTGCTTTTTCGACACCATGAAAATACGCATTTTGAGAGTTAAAGGCCGAATTGTATAATAAAAAGTATTTGAAAATTGCATAAAAATTAAAAAAATAAGTAAATTCTTGGCTGTTTTCCGCGCTCCAAATTTTCTGATGCGCTCTGTATAATTGTGAATATTTTTTAGAATAACCGCGTTTACTTCTTTATAATCTAACTATGAGAATCTTGAAATAAAACTCTAACTTTGCTCTATCGCTGGGACACCCTGTACAGCTAAGGCAATTGATTAAAAATTGAGTATTAAAAATTGACCAAGCAATTGATGAGTGTTTTCAGAAGAAATTTGAGAGAAAAATCACATTTTTATGATAAAAAACAATCGTAAACCAGTCAAGAAGCTATTTGACTCAGCTAATCAATAGATAGAAAGCAGAAAAAAAATGTTTTATGGCAAAAAACAGAACATTTTTGTCTTGATTGGTTGACCAATAATTACAATTTTATAATTTTTGGAAAAGTTTGGTTTCTAATAATTTTTTATAATTTTCTTAAACTCTCAGGACTAGAGCTTTAGACCAAGAGCATGTTTTTGTGTAGAAAACAGCAAATTTTTTAAATACATCCACAGTTTGAACACTTTTCCAGTGGCGTACAAGTTACAGGCAAATCAACCCCATTCAAGAACCGTAACGGATTCATGCTATACAGTTTTCTAAAATTTATTATTTTTACCTTAAAAACAGGAAAAACAGGTTTTTTTGGAAAATGATAATCGGGCGAAAACCACCAGTAGAATCGACCTCAATTTTTAAAGCAAAGTAATTACTTTGGAAAAAAAATGCTAAAAATGTTTGAACAAAAGTTCGTGTTTTTGATCATAAAATGTAATTTTTCTCTTAAACTGTGCGGTCTAGAGCTTCAAACCAAGAGGAGGTTTTTGTGTATGAAACAACCGAGTTTTGAAGCAAGTTGGTAATTTTACATTGTTTTCAGTGGCGTAGAAGGTAGGGGAAAAACAATCCCATTTCAGAACCTTCACAAATTCATGCTATAATTTTTTGTTTAATTGACTATTTTTAATAGATTAAAGAAGAGAAAAGTGAATTTTCAATAAAATAATACAAAACCATTGTCTCCAAATCACCAGTAGAAGAATTTTAAATTTTTTACGCACTATTGATTTTCCAAATTTTGTTCATGTTTTTATTACAAAATGTAATTTTTCTCAAAAACCCCAACACAAGTACATAGAAATCAACGATTGTTTCAAAAACCAGAATCAAATTGCGATTCGCCAGTGGCGTAGAAGCTAAGAGCAAAACAATTCCACTTAAATACTATAAAATTTATGTTTTTTAACTGACTAATCAACAGAAAAAATGAAAACGTCGTTTTCAAGGAAATGGCACAAAATAATGTTGGCAAAACGATTACATTGTTTTGAGCAAATTATTGATTTTGGAATTTTTGCTCATGTTTTTCCTCAAAAATGCATTTTTGCATGAAAACGGGCAACGTTACAGTTTTTTGCAAGGAGTACTTTTTCGTGTAAAAATTATCGGCCTTTTAAAATGTGCCCTGGAATCAGCATTTGCTTCAGTGGCGTAGAAGTTAGAGGCAATCAATCCCGCTCAAGCACTTTAACAGTTTCTAAGCCCTCATCAACAGCAAAATTTGCAACATCGACAAAAAAATCGACTAAACGCTCATAAAATCGACAAGTTTATTAAAAAGACGTATCGAAAACTGCAATTGCCTGCCTGAAATTGTTTGGGAATTATGGACGCAATTAACGTTTGTATAAAAATGTCAATCATCCCCTTGATCAAGTTATGCCAGTTTAGTTCAGATTACCCTGTATAATTAAATGCAGCGAATTCAAATTATGTCATAGCGCGTAGGCCAAATATGTGAATTACTTGAAAACCAAAAAAAAATTAAAATTGTTTATATAATATAAAAAAAACTGAAAAACCCCCCAAAGTGTTTGTTTTATCCACTGGTTATAGAGTTTTTGTTGGGTCTTTTCGGCCTTTAGAAGGAAGGAAGAGAAAAATCCGTGGGTTCAACACGATATCCATTCCAGTGGCTGTCGAGATAATCTTCAGTAGACTTTTAAAGCGTGGATTATGAAAATTCTGGTTTCAGATAGCGGAGTTCGGATACAGAAGAGACGGCAATACATTCAGCAGACAGGAGTTCGAGCAAAAGCGAAAAAAAGTGCAGTTTTACCTATCGCCGCTAAAACCGAATATAAATGCGAGCACGGGATTTAGATTTGGAGATGCGGCACAAAACGCGTTGGCTCTCAGGGAACGAGCTAACAGAACGGGAATAATGACTACGATCATTTTCATCAAGTATGGAACCTCCAGGTGCACAAAAACCGAAACTGTAAGGCGTTTTCAGCTACACGGCATCGAACGACCGGGAAATATCTGGATACATCGACTACGCCCACAGTCTGATTAAAAAGGACTGGAAGAAGTTTTTCAAGGAGAACCAGCCAATGTATCCAGACCGGTACGACCTGGGCTTCTACAACTGGAAGAAAGATGCGACAGTCATAAACGACTCGCTCTATTACAAGACTCTGATGTCGCCCACAAAAGGTCCAAAACTCCTGTCCAAAATCCGGTTTTCCAAATGTTTTTTCCAGGCTTGGTGTTCCAGAACAAGTTTGACCGCATGCTGATCGTCCCCGATCCTTTCGCCATCATTCCCGGCCAGAAGACCACGAGAGTGAGAGTCAGGACGAAAATGTACAACAACTTTGTCCTGATCGATCACATCTTGAGGTCCCGAAAGTAAATAGAAATTGATTCTTGCCATTCTCACCGCATTGGTAGTCTGGACAGCATCTGTTTGGCCGATGGATGGCTTTGCAGCCGGGCTTCTTCGTGCATTGGACAGTCTCACATTGCACTCCTGGCGGCTGGCAACGGCACTTTAAGCACGGTTGTTCAGCTGGGACGGTTTCATCTACACCGTAAACCACATCTCCTACTATGCAAACTTAAATAAAATAATAAAAATAATGAATTAAAATTTGGAGGTTTATGGGGGGAGGTTTACCTGGAGGTTGGTTGCCTTCGCTGTCCTGGTCCACATCGGGAGGATAGACTTCTCTGACCATTCGCTGCGACCTTTTAACCACCCCTGCAAAAAACAATTTCGTAATGTTAACTGGAGCCAAGTGCTGCTGTCAGCCCAATTTTCGGGTTAAATTTAAGCTCTTTTGATGCAGCCACACAATTATACATCTTCGTCCCGCTTAGGATAGTCATTAATTTCCGTTTTCCAAAATGTCCAAACTTGGGGGCATTCATTAATTGTGGACCAAACAACTTTAATTTTGGGTTTGTTCCTGGTGCGGTGTGGTCTGTCCATTGCATTCCATGAATAAACGGATTAATCTATCGTGCGTTGAAATTTCCATTAAAAAATGGAAATTATGTTGAAGAATTGAAAACTAAAGTAGAGAAACGAGTGATTCGCAAGCCAATCAGCGGATTATAAATACATTGGTATGAAAGTTTGTTGCATTTAGTAATAAAATTGTGTCACGACATACGCAAATATCCACAAGGTAATCGATGGGCATTTTGCATAAATAACGAATTTACTGTGCGATGAGGCAATAACGCAATAAATATGATTATTGAATAGTGTTCCTGTGAAATTTGCAATTATGGGATTATACAACCCGAGTCTCAATGAGTGCCGGCGACTAACTGGTTGCCGATTTTCGGTAAATATTCAATGGGGAAACCGATTGAGAAGGTTTGCCGGTTTTTGTCAATTCAACGGTTTTTTGCGCCTTCAACACCGACCAAACTAATTAGAATTCGTCAATGTAAAGGTTTTTCCACTCGGCCAAAGTGTTGCAGCGTCTGATTAAATAATTTCCTTCGCATTTCAAACGCTGCCAAACGAAAATACGATTCCGCTTCTTTTATAGGCAATCTCCGACCGAATCCAATTTGCCTTGGGAAGAGGTATTGAACTTTTATTAGCGCTAATCCTGGAACATCTCGTTTCATCTTCCACTTTGCTCGATTTCTTCATCATGCACTTTTGTGCTTTTCTTTGAATCGGTTTTGCAACAGTTTCCATCATCATCATCATCATAGGCAAAATAACTGTTTGTTCACCAACAAAAATTAAATTTTAGTATAAATTTGTTTCCTGGGTTTCACTCATTT